TTATATATTTTTGGTGAGATTGTTGGATTGCTTGTAATGTTATATATATTTTTTTGTAAAAGTATGTTTTTTTGTTCTACTTTCTTCTTCAGTGTGGAAATGTGGAATGAGTTTGTGTTGACTAAATAATATCAAAATATTCATGTTTCTTGGTTAAGTTTACAATGAAAGGTACTCCATTCTTTACTACATTTTATCTTTCAAATCGTATCCTTTTGCATTGCTACATTTTATCTTTCAAATCGTATCCTTTTGCATTGCTACATTTTATCTTTCAAATCGTATCCTTTTGCAGGTTGGCATGAGTACATTCATCATAAATTTCCAGCCACATCTGGACTTTGGAACAATTACGACCTCATTATATAACATTCCATTAGGCTAGACTTTATACGTATCGATATATTACTGACTGTTATTCAGTGAGAATCTATAGAATTACTGTAGAAATCTTGTGAATTTGCAAGAATTTTCTGTTGCTCTATTGAAGTCATGAATTGCCTGCACCTTATGATGCAACTTGTTCCAAATGACTAATATATGACCATTCTAGAAGATGAAAAGAAAAAAGAACAATGACTTATATATAGTCTAATCTAAGTTTTTTTATTTTTTTATTTTTTAAAATATTTTGAGGGTTTTGGACCCTTTTTTGTTGAAAAAAAATCTACTTGACCGGTTAGTCCGGTTAACCGCCTCGGTTGGTCCAGTTCCGGTTGGAACTGCTCCTAGGCTGATGACCAGTTAACGGTTCCGGTTCGATTTTACGAACACTGATCAAAACAACATCTTCTAGTTAAATTTTTGATGTAGCGTCTAATTTGATTGTTTAGAGCCTCAGCTCTATATAAACTTTTCCCTTTTTAGAAATATGAAATTTACAAGAACTTAATTTAGCAATTAAAAGGATAGATATTAGACATATACACAACAAAAATTAAAGTAAAAAAACACGTGAAAAACTCACCCAGTGATGAAAAAACAATCTCTAACCCTTTTATTTTTTAATAAATCGTTCGGGGTCTTCGCAAAGGGCTAAAAAGGCCCCACCCTTTATTAGCTGAGTCCTTTTTTATGCAGGGGGGAGAATGCAATGGAAAGGAAGGCTCTCTCTCTTCATCCCCATTTTTAAACCCTATATTCTCCCCCTTTTCTCCCCCTGCAACTCCTGACTGCAAACCCTAGAATATAGCTTCAAACCTTAGAATAATGGCTGATAGGATTCTGAGAATGGGCCCTATCCTTGCATTTATTTTGAGTACCTTATTGCTTGTTGTGCCCCTTCAAGCTCAGTCCATTTGCCCCATAATTTCCATCACCGATTTCATTTTAAGGCGATCAGATATATGTTACACCCTTGATTCCATCTGCCCCATAGCTTCCAGGGTGGAAGTTCCCACTGTTGCTGTGGTATGTTGTTTCCTAATGGAGTTCACTCATTCTTGCGTGGTTTTCTCATCCAATTTCATGCTTTTTCACATTTTTCCTTGAACTTGGTGTATCGGTTCTTGCTTTTTCTTTTTCATTTTCAATGTGCTAGGATCATTGGTAATCTTGATTGCATAAGGTGTGGAATTCTGGTCTGTTTGCTTCGTTTACAGGTTTGATTTGTTTAATAATCTCTTAGGCTTTCTTGCTTATTGGAGTTCTTGGTTTGTAACATGTAAAATTGGTATGTACACCTTTTTTTTCTATGCAGTGGTGAAATTTTTGAAGGTGGGGTGATGTCAAGTTACCTTGCTTTTGTGAGTTTTAGTTGATCGACGGCTTCAAGTGAAATAAGATCGTTGATTTTTTCTGCGATGTTTAAAATTAGTGAAATTTTTTGAAGGTGGGTTGATGCCAATTTTGCATGTTTTTCTGAATTTAAATTGATTAAGAACTTCAAGTGAAATCAAGATGGTTTATTCTTTTCTATGATTTGATAATCAGTTTAAGCTAGATATCAAAAAATAAAGAAAAAATAAGCTAGTGATATGATCGAGATATATAATTTTGATGTATAATGTGTTCTTGTCTCTATGTTTTCACGCTCATGGATATTCTGAATGTGATATTGCATTTCATTTGTGCACTACTTTACTCGCAGAAACTAAAAGATGTATGTCTGTCTGTGCATCTTATTACATTTTAATCATGTGGATTATGGTGTAAGAAAGGTTTTTATTTGTTCCATGAGCTATTTGTTGTGAAATCAAACATTTATGGTTCATTATTTCAGCATTTTTTTTTAATATAAAAGGAAAAGTTCCTTATTTCAGCATTCATACTTAAAGTGTTTATTTCCTTTGGAAGATAAAAGTGGTTTGGTTTCTTAACTATATTTTAACATCAATTTTAAGGTTTCGACTTCAACTTTTTCTCCCATGCATGAAATAACAGTGGCATGAACACTGGAAAGGAGGTCTACAGATTGCCAAATTCAGACTTTCAGAGTTGAAATTTGAAATTATTGGTGGAGTAATAGGAGTGAAATCTCTGGAAATTTAAGCTTCTAGTGATAAGAAATAACCCTATATGTTGGCAAACCATTTAGAAAATTTGGGCTGTCAATTGCCAGTCGATCCTAGTGCTAGGAAAACTTTGAAGTTCAATTGATTTTGTGAGAGAATAACTTGTTGCAGAAAAGTAGCAAGCTTTATATCATTCTGGTGCTCTCAAGGAGATGTAGTTCATCATTTAAGGAGCTGTAGTTTATCTTGTAAGGAGGCTTAAACATCTTAAGAATTCTGTGGAAGAATAAAGACGCATGATGACGGCAATAATCAAGTTGGAGCTTTGTACTCCATGCTGATTAGCAGGGCTGGGAAGATATGTTGCTGTCATAAAATAATTTTTCTCTCTACCATCATATTGTGATACAATCGTGAACCATTTGATAGAAAGTAGGATAGTATATAGAATGACTTGTACCCAATGGATCATACTACCCCCTTTCTGATTGATGATTCAATTGGAAAAGAAACATAGGTTTATATTTATGTTAGGATGAAAAAATTAGGCATCTCTCCAACCACTGAAATATCTACAAAATCCTCGGTATTGGAAGAAGTGTGGGATTGGTGAATATATCACATCCCACTTGCAACCTTTCGTCCCTTCTGGATAATTGGAATAGCTTAGGTTATTCAGTTAATGACGCTTTCTGTTCCGGTATTGGGAATCCAATTCAATTGTTTGTCGTTCTAGAAAGAATCGAACCCTTCATGACTGATTATCCCAAGTGGAATCTGTTAAAAAGAAGTGTTAAGCAACTCGTTTATCTCATATCATAATGTCTTTGATTTGTTTTTTTATTTTATTGAATAAATTTTATTCATAGGGTAGAATCGGGTCAAATTGGATCCTTGCTGATACTTCCAGATAGGTACCTATCCATAGGTAAATGCGTCTCTTCTTAATAGAGAAAATTATTTTCCACTATCTAAAGAGCTTATTTACCTACCCAATTTTCCAATCCTACAGGTGCTTCTTGCACTACCATGCTATCCCTTCAACACCATCACTTATGAAACTTTAAATTCTCTGAAGATACAGATGGCACTTATTTAGAAGAGCATAATTAGTCAACAATAGGCATATTTCCTCAAGCTACTGTAGAGATATGGCTTGCACTCATCATCCTAGCTAACTAGGAGATACTTGTGAACTTCATTGCTTACTCTCCAGTGGAGCTCCCTCGGGATGCTTTTGGTTTATCTGCTACCACAATGGAGATTTGGAACAATGACATGTAGTAAGTCTACCACCAAAAGGCAAAAATTAACAATCTCATGCTACAAGTTTTCATCGGACTTCCTCGATCCAATGGTGTCAAAAGATTTTCATGGTTAAGGCATATAGCCCTAGATATCTACCAAACAAACCTTTTACCTTGCAGTCTAACCTGTTCTAGTACCTCAACTTCGGAGATGTTGCACACCATGGAAAACAACTTTTTTTTTTTTTGCTTGCTCTTTGCATAAGTTTTGGTCCTCAACCCCTCAACTTCAGAGGTGTTGCACACCATGTAAAACAACTTTTTGTTTTTGGCTTGCTCTTTGCATAAGTTGGTCCTCAACCCAAAGTATTGTACATCACTTGTGTTGCAGCCACACTTCCATTGTTGGTTAGTATCATGTTGGCATGATCTAGTCCTCTAGACGTATTTTCTTTTCATGTTTGTGATATTGGGACGAAAATAGGGAGCGCTGAGATGTCTGATGTCTGTCCTATAGGTGGACTTCTTCAAGCTTGGTGTCACACCCCCAAATGGAAGCATATCGTGTTTTAGGTCTGTATTAGGATTTGATTGAGGCTTCTAAGTTCTTTCTATTTCTGGACTCCTCATAACTATCGCAGAAACAACAGCAATTATATATAAAATTTTTTGGTTTGGCTTTTGTTCTACTTTTTGGCTCCTCGTTATCATTGCAGTAGTTATTGCAATTTTCAAAAGCATATATAGCTTACCTTAAAAAGTAGTATAAATAATGGGAAAATTTCATGAGTGGTTCATAGGGCTGTTTTCATCCCAATAGTAGACGCCATTAAGGGACCCCATGTTACGTGGTGCTCTATAACATTGGGATATGTCCATTATTCCTTCAAATTAGTGTGCAAAAGGGGGGCATAGTACCAATGGTGTTATAAAACCTATAAAGGGGTTTTATCCCCTCAGCGTTTTACTCCATTAAGGGGCGTGCTATGGGCACACTCAAATTAGCCCTTGAAATATTTAATTGGTCTTGAAAAAATTAGCGAGATTGGGACACATGAAATGATTTCTTTTCAGTGTGGGGTCCAAAAGTTGTGGAATGGGCATCAAACTTGATTGAGAATAGGACCCTGCATAGAGTAAGGGTATTTCTCCAAGGTCTTCCCTACAGCTCCACTTTCCATTTGTTCTTCCCTTTCTTCACTTCTCCTTCTTCTCTCTTCTTGATCCTCTGTTTTCTTTCTTGTACTATCAGTGTATCAAAAAGCGCTAGGTGGGTCCTAGGCAGCCTGAGGGGTCCAAGCCGCCTAGCGCCTAGGCGGCGCCAATTGTCACTCATCTTCCATATGCGGACGACACCCTAGTCTTTTGCAATGCCTCACCTGAAGAAATCAGCAACCTATTTATGTTCCTCAGATGCTTTGAATTTTCCATGGGATCAAAGTCAATTCCAATAATTTTAAGATGATGGGGGTGGCGATAGACTTTCCTACTCTGAAAGAGTTCGTGGATAGTTGGGGTTGTGAGGCAGAAAATCTCCCATCCAACTATCTTGCCTTGCCCCTTTGCATTGGCAAACCAAAGAAGCGATCCTGGTCGCATATTATTAACAAGGTCGATCGAAAACTTGTGGGCTGGAAGGGTCGTTTACTAACAAGGTCGATCGAAAACTTGTGGGCTGGAATGGTCGTTTCCTTTCTCTGGCAAGAAGGTTAACCCTCATTAAAGCCACCTTGGCTAATATTCCCGTCTATCAAATTTCAATTTTCCATATGCCTATAGTGGTGAGCTCTCGACTTAAGCAGATGTTTCGCTAATTCTTTTGGTCAGGAGAAGCAGTGAACCAGAAATTTCACCTCATCTCTTGGGAAAATATTTGTTGACTAAAGAGACTCAGGCGATTAGGGATTAGAAACTTGAGGAAACACAACACGACTTTACTTGGTAAGTGGTGGTGGAGACTGGAAGTGATCAGTTCTGGATTGATATCCTCAGGCACAAGTATTGAATCCCATCGTCCCCCTGGCTACCCAACTGTAGGACCAATAATATATCTTCCAGGGTATGGAAATCAATTTGTTCCTCCTTCATGTTGTTCAAAAGGTGCATTCGGTTTCACCCAAAGCTAGAAGTTGGATCCTATTTTGGCAAGATCTGTGGTTCGGACAAGAACCCCTTAATGAAAGGTACCCAGACCTTTTCTCCCTCGCTCGTTTTCTAAGGGCAACTGTTGCAGACGAGATGATGGTGGTTGGGTCCTCTCGTTCTTGGAACCTAGTTTTCAGAAGGGTGCTTAATGAATATGAGATAATTCACTTCTCCCACCTGGCTGCTGCCCTCCAAGGCTGCTTTATCGCCATACAGGGTTTGGACTCATTATATGTACTCCTTGTGCTTCTAGTATATTTTCAGTCTCTTCCTTTTACCAAAAATTACCCACTTTCCCTCTATCTCCCACTTCCACCGTAGCCCAAGCTTGGTCCTCCTTTACCCCTCCAAAGATTCGGGTCTTTACGTGGCTAGCCCTCTCCCAGAGGGTGCTCACGGTTGAGCAGTTACAAAGATGAGGTATCCCCTTACCCAATCGTTGTGTCCTTTGTTTAGCAGATGAAGAAAGCAATGCCCACCTTTTTTTGCACTACCCTTTTCTTCGCCTCTTCAATTGCCATTGGGTCCTGCCAGCCATCGTACCCCTTATCCTTAATTCCCTCCAACCGTTCCCTCTACCTAAAGCTGGAATTTTGTTGTGGAAATCCTCTGTGTCGGCCTCTATTTGGGCCATTTGGATAGAGCGCAATAATAGGATTTTCCGGGGTGAAGACTCCTCGTGGTTTAGTATCTTCATCAAGCTCAAATCTTTGGTGGTTTTTTGGGCAACTAACCATATAGTTTTAAAGAGGCTACTCCATCTGCCTTCTATCAGGATTGGGGCACTATCCTTCAGTTTAGGCATAATCGACTGCCCGGGGCATCAAATTGGAGACCTCTTGATCCGGGATGTTTCAAGCTTAACTTCGATAGATGCGCTCTTTGGGGAATGACGGCCCCGGGGGAATAGGCGCTACACTCAGGAACCACCTGGGTTCAACTATTGATTCCAACTTCAAAAACATTGGCCATGCCAACTCCATGGAGGCCGAGGCGACAGCTTTACTCTAGGGGCTCAAGGTTTTGCGACTCCATAATATTGTCTTTGTTATCATTGAGGTTGACTCCAAGAATGTTATAGCATGGGCTTCAAACTCTTCTCCCCCTCCTTGGGTGTTGGCTCACATTTTTGAAGAAATTAACCACCTCTATAGGGATATGCGCGTCTTATGGAGGCGTACTTGGAGGGAATCGAATTAGGAAGCAGACACCCTCGCTAAGGAGGGGACGATGCAGGACAGTCTGTAGTCCCCCTTGGTTTTTGGATCGGCTTCTTTTTGTTGGTTGCTTTGCTTTCACATCATTGTAACTTATAAAAAGATAGCTTTTTGATTCTTCCCCCTCCCCCCGATTTATGGTGGGCTTTTCGTAGATAGAGCTTCTGCCTTGTGGATAGCCTATACTTCTCGTTTCTTTGCGACTCTTTATACTACTAAAGTATATGGATCAAAGAGATCCATACTAGTTTAAGATTGAGATTTATAATAATATGGACTATGGAATGCGTTTGACGACCCCTACCAAGAACCAAGATTTCATTTTTATGGAGAAGGAAGCGACAAGCACATCTTGAGCCTCATCAACTTTAGAACCTATGTTGGATGTCTCTTATTAGAAGGTTTCCCAAATTAAAGTGATTGTGTTGACTATTGAACTTACGGCCAATATATACACAAGACAAGTATTTTTAAATTGTGATTTGACTTCATTATTATCAAGACAAAATAGGACTATGTCTACACCATGGTTTTACTTTTAATTCTATGTGTTGTATTTACCAGTTATATTGTAAATTTAAAGTAACGGCCATCCAGGGTGGCACAAGTAAAATAATGAAACCCTGCAACCACTAGAAGCATTCGAAGGAGGATTTCTACTCCAATTGATGATGTGGAATCAAGATTTAACCCTCACTGGAACCCACAATTAATAGGTTCAAGTTTCTAAAGATGTGTTGAATCGAGATTCCGAAATTAAGGAATCGAATTTCCTTGGTTCCGATAATGGTTTCTAAAAATGTGCTGAATCAAGATTCCGAAATTAAGGAATCGAGTTTCCTTGGTTCCAAAAAATGGTTTCTAAAGATATGTCGAATCAAGATTCCAAATAAAGGAATCGAGTTTCCTTGGTTCCGAAAATGGTTTCCATGGAGATTCCTTAGCGAAAAACGCGGAATCAGGTTTCGGATCCAAATACGCGAGGTTGGTGGAGAGATTCCAGTAACTATGAGTAATATATTGTCACCTTTTCAGAAAAAACAGGTGGGGGGAAGTAAGAAAACCGCAATTAACTCTCGACTTCGTACTTTTCCTCTCCGTCAAATTCATCTTTTGTCAGGGGAAGTGCCTCTCTGGTCTATAGAGAACATAGAACAGATTTGCATGAAACCATCATGAGAGTCAAAAAACTGTCCTCCAACTACAAGAAAGAACCAATGAATGTGGTGTAAGACTCATCCTGATGTCAAAACTAAGACTGATATCTTTGTTGCTATGGTTCTGGGGAGGATTAGTAACAACCCCACATTGACGAGAATAGATGAGTAGAATCCGTGAATCATTAGAGTCCCAGGAAAGACTAGCAATATCCTCTTCTGTATGACATTAAATCATGATTGAAACTATGTTTCTGGCCATAGCATTATTTTCATCTTCTCCAAATCTGAAGACCTAAAAGCAGGTGTCTATTATGTAGTTAATCAAATTGGTAGTCCATTGTGCTAATTGATTTAACTTTCTTTTGCTCAATAGAAGCTTCCCCTGACTCCATTTGATTGTCAAAGGAGTCGCAGTGTGCATTCCAAAATTAGGTTTAATATAAGGAAGAAATTTAGATTTAGTTTACCTGCTTGGATATGAAGAGACAAACAAGTAGTTTGCATTCGATAGCCTTATGAAAAAATTTCTTTGGCAGTGTATCTAACCAAACAATGGTATTTGAGATTAACCAAACAGAAAGAAAAAGAAGGATGCCATTTACAAACAAAGACAAAATTGTACTTCGAGTGTGTTGCAATTCATCTTAAAGAGGAGAAACACTGTTGCACTTGGCTAGAGAGAAAATGAGAAGAACCTGCTTGATGAGAATTGGATGCCAAAGTATCTGAGAAACCATAGTTAATGATAAAAAGAAAAAAAATGGTATTTTAAATATTGTAGTTTTTCTTCCAAAGAATTACGGATCCTAACTGTGATTGTTGGCATTTTCAAATCCTGAAATATGAAATTAGGGAACAAAAGTATCTCTAGGTTTCCCCTTCCACCAAAAATAAGGAGAATCCAGTTAACTTATCCTTTTTTGGGGAGAAATCTCTATATATCTTTACCTACAACTTTATAAGAATAACTGATTAGTGTTGAATGCTTGCACTTTGGTGTTCTGAATTGATTGTTTTCAAGAAAGCATGAAACTGAGGAATAGCTTATTGAGAAATGCTTCTGGATTGACTTCCTGGGTTATTCTGCCTTTTACATTGTTCTGGAATTGTCTAATCTGTGAGCAAGTTATTAGCTGGATGGTTAACTAGCAATGCACTGGCTCAGCGATGACATTTATGAGCATTTGTGATGATTAATGATCATTTCACTTCACTTTATAGGTGCTTCTTCATATGCTTATCAATAAGTTTAATGCTGGAAAATGAATATTTAATTTTTGCAGGTGAATGAAATTTCATTGGAGAGGGCTTTGAACCTGATCCATAAGAACAGCGAGAAATATGTAGCTATACTGTTCTATGCGTCATGGTGTCCTTTCTCCAAAATCTGCAAGACCTCCTTCGCAATCCTCCCTTCATTATTTCCCACCATCCATCATTTTGCTGTTGAAGAATCCACCATTAAGCCAAGGTACATCAGATGAATGAACACTTTTTTCCCATCTTTGCTTTTTCATCTACATCAACTTGCAGGGTGCTTGTATTAGAATAACATTGAGAAATTTTACAGCTCCCTCTCAAAGTATGGCGTTCGTGGTTTCCCCACCCTTTTCCTTCAGAATGCTACAACCCGGGTGCGATATCGTGGCGCACGCAATGTCAGGGCTTTTGCTAGGTTTTATAAGAGTACTACAGGTATATCCAGGTTTCTTCTTTCTTCTGTGTGCCTTATCCATACTTCCAGGAAATGGATGTTTAGAATACTGAATCAGATCCTTATAACAATGCCATATTTGTTTTCATTGCTTGCTCATGATGTGGGTTTTGTGATTGATAGAATCTGAGATATTTGAATCAAAATTGAATGGGTGGATTTTCTTATTTGTCACTATAGATGGTATTTATTTATCTCTCTCACTATCTCACTCTCTCTCACTCTCTCACACACACACACAGACAATGATCACATTTATTAAAGAACCTTAAAGTACTCATCATATCAGAGCAGATCCATGACGGTTACATTTTGTTCATAGGAATCAATCCTATTTCTCCAAACTACTTTGAGCAAAAGCAAATGGAGAGCTTATTACTGAGCCTGTCAAGACTTGGGGATGATGAGGCCGAGCATTGCCCATTTTCATGGGCAAGGTATCCTGAGAAGCTAGTTAGGCAAGAGACATATCTTGCGCTTGCTTGTTCATTCCTCCTTGTCAGGCTCCTGTACTTTGTATCACCAACATTGATTGTGCAAGCCAGACGGTTATGGAGGCAACGGTCAAAGCCCTAGAAATGATTTGAAAGCCTAGAAATATTTCAGCCTGATGTTTGAGCGCTTTAGAACATGGGGATCTGTGAAGTTTGAGATCTTATGAATATCAATTCAAACTTTATTCTGAAGTTTAAGAACATGGGTTCTACAACTTGTTAATGACATGCATATATAGGGCACAACAGAATCTCATATGGAGAGCTTCATGCCACACAAATCGCATTGTTGGACCAATCACAAGATGAACTGCTGAAGGAAGCTGTGGGGTTTTTTTATTCCTGCTGTTGCAAGCAAGGCTTGAATTGAGCTTTGTTTGGGTGTCAAATTAATGATGTAATTGGTCGATGCCTCTGTAAAATGGTGGGGGCTTTGTTGGGTTTGTTGGATATAGGAGCAGGGTGTATAGCATTGCTCAAGGGGGGGTTATGCATCCATAATTCTTATTAGTTGTTTACTCCCAACTTCTGCCCACTTGCTTTGGTTAACATTATGCTGAAGCTGATGTTAATTGTTTTTGTCTATTCAATATTGGGGTTCACTGATTTGGGCTCTCGCTCTCATCAAATTTTGCAAATTAGGACTGAGCTATAGCAAATCTGTATTTGCAGGTTTGCACGTGTTGATAGAGCTCTCTCTCTCTCTCCTCAAATTTTGCAAATCGAGACTCAGCTATAGCAAATCTGTATTTTGGGTTTCACATGTGGATAGGGTTCTTTAAATTGACAGTTATTGGACAGCTCTCTCTCTCTCTGCGTGCAATTTATCTTTATTTTTTTTCTACTAATAGACTCAATTTTATCAAAATTTGCTGAGAACTAAAATGCAACAAAGCCACATACCGCTGTAGAAACTGCTTTTCTGGGATATCCAAACTGTCCCTTAAAACTGTTGCAAATCTGAAGTTTTATGAAACCACAGAAACTAAGGCGTTCAATTGATAACCGTTGTTTTTTTCCTGAATTGGTAATGGCCATGCTTGAAACAGATTTGGTCGTTTTGGCCATGCTTGAAACTGTATTCTTGTTCATGTTGTTTATGCATGTCGATGAGCTTATATGCAGGCACTCATGTGTGCATGCACACAGAGAGAGTGAGAAAGAGAGAAAGTAAGAGTGGGTTAGCCCTTGCAGGTAGAGGTGCATATATCAATGTTCAGAAACTTGAACTAGTCCCTGGGTGAAATGGAACCCAAGGTTGGTTCAGAAGCCGGAGTTAGTTTTTTCAACAATCAATTTTGAAGTGATTGCATGGTACAAGACAAGAGACACTTTACACGCTTTGAACGGAACGAATGCCAAGCATGCTAGCCTAGCTTCGTTTAGAGAGAGAGAGAGAGAGAGAGAGAGAGAGAAGTAAACGTAACTACTACGACGAAGTAGGTAGGTACGTTCGTTAGTAGTATACGTACGTAAGTTAAAGTTAAACGTTACGTCGTACGTACCGTA